TGAATCATTTGCTTGAAGTTCATCTCAGAATACTGGCGAAGATCTTTGACCCTATTGTCGCTGTTACTGTTCCTCTGTTGAAGTTTCCTCATAACTTTATACTGCTGAATTGTCGCTCCATATGGACACACTTTTGAGACCTTGATCACAGAGCATTGCCTCTCAGCAGTTTTAAAATCAGCTTCCTTCTCTTTTATGACTGACAAAGTTGAGTCAAGGTTGACAAAAGCCTGCGAAGATAGAGCTTTTGTAAAGAACGGATGCCAAGTGTCTCTCATGATGGATGGTAACGATGAGGCAAAAAGTTTAAGACGCTCTATGTCGTCTATAACTCTTTGATTTGCACCAGAACTGCATTGCCCTCCTTGGCATTTGCTTGGACACATCTTCTGGAATATCATTTCTTTGACTTGGTACCAAACGAGGCCAGTCATCATTGGGAGAGCTTTGGCTATATCACACTTTCTATCAGAAGAGCAGGCTTCAGATGTGTCTTGTTCTGCATATAGTAATTGGAAAATTGTTTCTTTGATTTGGTTTAACTTGGCGTCCATTTCGTGTCTGTTATAGATCCAATAATTTTGTAGAAATTCTTCATACATTTTACGTAGCTTGGGGTCTTTCCGCATCTGTTCAGGACTAACCTTAAGCTTCCAGGCCCCTTGCAGTGAGCTGTGTGAGTGTTCAGTGCCCGGTATTGGCCCAAAATTTGGTGGTTTCCTGCCTTTGAACAGTCTTTTGCCTTAAGGAAGAGCAGAAGCAATCAAAAATGAGGCGACACAAACAACCGGCAGGAATTCAAATTGAGTTTCCCGTACTTCTGGTCCCTTACCTGAACAGGAAGTAACATCACTACAAATATTTTTGAGTGACATTTCATTCAGACTAGCTTTAGCATCTCCAGCTTCCTGGCAAATAGGATAAAGAGCTAACTGTCCAGTCACTAGCTGTTCTGACAATTTCGTCGCAAGCGTCGACATGCGTGAGTTGTGGTTCTCCGCCAAGGTGTAGCTATAAAACAAGATGTCATCGCTTGCGATCACGTTAGATGGCATGTGTTGGCTTGTGAATCTTTCCTGTTCGCGCTTGTGGTCTGGTGAACGAGATAGTTCATTGTTGAAATTCTTGTATAGAGGCTCTAGGTTTTTTTGTATTGCCTTCTTATCAACCACAAGGGCATCTTCTTCATTGTTTTGTAGAACCTATTGAAAATTGATTAGTCATGACTATATGTTATCTTCATTGCCATGGTTATATATAGTTTATAGATACATATACAATGGATCTAGCACTGGCATTAACAAATCAAATGAATTGTCTCCGGATATATAAAAGGAACTATACGAAAATAAAGCTAATCCACTACCTCATCACGCCACATGAAACATAATACTAAAATTCATGTTGTTCAAGGTCCTGTTTGATTGAATGAAATTAATTAGCGACTAATATGTTTTTGAAATTTGCAAACACAAGTCACTGCTAAATATCTAACTAAATAAAGTCTCTAAGTAATTAATTCCTTGATCTAATTTTAATATATTTAATATACCGCTCCCGTTTTTGGAATGGACCAGGAAAGGCGAAAGCTTACGTTTCTCAAAGTATCCAGCCCCTGTTTTGTGTAAGGCCTCGAATATATGCTAAATGCATTGAATAACGACTGGTATTGACCATCAAGCCCAGACAGAGATATTTCCATGAAATCATTGACATCAGTTTGTAGGGTATTTAGAGTGTTGATGAATTTCCTAAGTCCACCGGCCTGGTCAATACTGGATCTTATTGCTCTCATGTCTGTCATCATTTGTTTCGCACTTAGTATCACTTTGGATAAAGAAGTTGGGAAATCTTGACACTGCGACCCAACGATCATCGACGCGAACAGAAGAGCATGAACAACCAATTTGTAAGTGGTGTTCATTGTGGCAAGAATGTACAAGTATTGTACAGAGAAGAAATGACGGGATACGTTAGATGGATACGATATTCGTTATGTCATTTGCGTCATAGTTAAAAGCGATTACACAAGCTTAAAGTCATTTTTTACCATAAAGTTCAACACCAGTTTCAGTGGTAAATACCAAGTAAGGTGATTTTTTCCAACACATTCAATTCATTGAAAGTAACAACACCTGTTGATCTCGCTAAATGGTGATCATGATAACTACTTAGAAATATGCCGAACAGGTTGTTCTATTCTAACCAGGAAGACAGAACCAAACTTTCTGGTAAAAAATGTTCCGCTTCAGGAAAAAAACACCAGTTAAAATTTCTAAAAAAAATTGTAATTATATTTTGAACCAATATATATTGCACTTGTAATAATATAACAAGCAAATATAAAAGTATACACTCAATTTTTAGTACACGTTTTGACAACAGACTTGAGTTTCAAATACAATTTTAATTTTGCTTTTCCATTTTTAGACTTAATACTGAATTATCAACAATTTATCAAATTCCTAAACCCATGCAATTAACTCTCCAGCTTTTATACAGCTATTTCTAAAAAGCTAGCTTGTCTGACTCCTCATAACGAGACATTTCTTTACTTGATAATTTTAAAACTGCTCTTAAAACCTTCTTGATATTTAAACAAACTTATGATCTCTATTGTAACTTTCTTTATCTTAATTTTACCTTTTTATTTGCGCTTAGAAAAAGTTATATAAGCGCTTTATTATAAGCTTAGATTATTATTATTATTATTATTATTATTATTATTATTATTATTATTATTATTATTATTATTATTA